GGTGCACCCACCCCAGATAGAAGCCATGGATTGTAGATCCCCAGATTGCACTCTATGACTGTCTCCTCCCTGGAAAAATAGACAATGGCGAAATCCACCCATCAGCACAACTGGGGGTTAATTGGAATGGGGCAGCAACCAGGGCTTCATCTCCATCAGAGCGGCCCTCACACCTAGGCCCAAGTAGGTCCAATCTGATTTCTCAACATCCTGGTGCTTCTCCCTGCCTAACCCCAGATTGCTCTCCCACATCAGGCCAAAAGTAGGTGAAAGGGTTGGTTGGGCAGCTTTCCCAGGCTGGCAGCAGGGCAAGACCTAGATTCTGGCTTCTCACTAATTGCTGTGTGACCTGAGGCAAGGTCCTGCCAGTCTATAGCCCATTTTCCTCTAAGGGTTGCAGGAAAGCAGTGCTACTCTTCCTGGGCTGTGAGCTGCCCAGATCGCTGGGGTTGTCCTGGTGCTGGGTCTGTTTGTCTCATCTGTGAAGAGGATGTTCACATGAATGTGCTGGGCACCTAGCGGGTTCTCCTGCCTTCTCATCTCTGCATGGAGGGGGAACTGGGCCAGCAGGTCCTCTGCTTGTGCTCCACAGTGCCCCTCTTCACAATGGGGATTCTGCCTCAGCATGGTGAATTTCAGGGCCCCAATATTCAGTCCACAGCAGCTGATGCTAGGATGGTTTGGTATGCCTTCCTTCTCTCCCGGTTCCTCGCCCCCCAGGCATCCTCAGTGTAGGCTCTGGGCTCATCTGGCACCTGGGATGACCATTTATGTATTTCCCAGGTTCCACGTTCCAGGCACGTGGTGGGACCGCACTTCCCTGCCCCTTTGTGATCAGGCTGAGAAGTGACAATCTGACAATGTTTACTTGTCAGAGAGACCACTTTCCCTCTGCCACACCTGATAGCCATTGAGATGGTAGCTGCTCCCCCTGTCCCCGCCAATCCCCCAGGCCTGGAGGAGAGACAGACACCCCTGCAGCTGCAGGAGTGCACAAGAAATAACCGTGTTGAGGGCCACAAGTGCTCAGGGCTCACTGTTGCTGCAGCATGGAGCCTGCCTTTACAAATACAAGCCTTGTAAAAGCAACAGCAAGCTAATAGGTGAGAGAGGATGTAGAGGTTGTTTTGTCTTTGAAGCCCAAATGCCCACATGGGACATAGGCACTGGGGCCCAGCAAGTACTTGGAGTGGTACTGACGTGGCTTTGGTGGGCCTAAGAAGGCAGAGTTGGGGAACATCTAGGATATTCCATCTAATTTGATCCTCAAATATGGAAACTGAGGTCGAGAGAGCAGTGGTTTAATGGTATGGTCTGGCAAAGAATTTTAGAATAGAACCAGATTCCTGATTACCAGGCAAGAAGACTAAAACCTGGTAAGAAGTGGGATTCTCCATTTAGGGCTCTTGCATATTCTCCTATAGGTAGATACCTTCAGGCCTGGGAAGGAAGAACTGAAAAGGGCAGAGTCAGAGAGATCAGCCTAGCCAGAGCCCTCAGCACACCTGGCAAGGGCGGTTGGACTGCTCGCTACCTACTCAACACCCATGTCCTCCTTTCTTACTATAAGAACTTCAGTACTCCAGATGATGAGCTTTGTCTCCCAGCCTATGTGCAGCTCTGCATGGCCGTACAATTCAGTTCTTACCATCCAATAAAACTGGAAGGGCCACCGAGGACATTTTTGGTGGGCTTCCTTAGCTGTACAAAGTAGAGGCCCAGGCTCCTTTGTTCAGTGCTCAGGCAAAGCCTAATTTTGCCACTCCTGGCTGTGTGGCCCTGGACAAGGAAGGAGCTAGTCTCTGAATCTGGGGATTGCAGAGAAGAGCAGAGATGCTCTTCGGCTGAGTCCTAGCAGAGCACCCAGCATGAAGGAGCGCCATTTCTGTCATCATCCTGCTGCAGCTGCAGTGACATCTGCCTGGGTTGGGTGGCACTTGCAGACTCTTTGCAGGGGGACCGAGTGCACAGCAGTGCTTCTTTGCCCTTCTCCAAATGGAGTACCTCCATTTGCACTTGAGCCAGAGGACATGCTGTTTGTCACTGGCAGTCAGTGAAACATAGGAGACCAACATCCGTGGAATCCAGCTGTGTCCTAGGCATTTTACCCAATTCCTTTAATCCTGAGACAAACCTGAAAAGCAGGGACACATGGAAATGGCAGCTCAGAGAGGTGCAACATCGGGTTTGGGACTCGCATGTGACACCTCAATTCAATCTTTCTTGTTAAGTCAGAGTGGATACTTACAACTGTAGTCAACCTTTTATTTATTTATTTATCCAGTCAGTTTTTACTGAGATCCTGTCATGGGCCAGGCACAGTGCTAGACCATAGAGGTAAGAAGAAGACCACAGACAAGGCCTGGCCATGAGGATGCCACCTCATGGGCCAGCTCCAGGGAACAGTCGCTGTGTGCAGCATTATGATGGAAGGATTCTGAGTAGCTGCTGGGCCCCGTGGGAAGGAGTGCAAGCGAGCCATGGAGGCTGTTAGGGAGTTGGGGCCACCCATGTTTTACATCTAGTCATGATGTTCTTGATAAACTTGAACAAAGCAGAAATACAACCTGGTCGGATTTCAGGTTTCCGTTTTGATTTGGAAAACGTACCATTGCAGATCTAGCAACCAGGTCTAGCCCTCAAGGAAGCGAGGATCTCACTGGTACATGTGAACAATACAAGATGGTTCTTAAGACATGGAACAGAACAGTCTGCTGGAGAGGTGAAAGCCCACAAGGTAGTCATGTCCCCATTGCTGTGATTCATTCCTCCTGCTTGGTTGCAGGCTCCTCACGAGCCAGCAGTGTCTCCTCCACGAGGACCAGTGTGGCCTCTGCCACGCAAGGCTGGTACAATCTGCCCGGGCACATACAGGGCCTGTGACGTGGGCCTGCTTGGCCTGGCACACAGCCCCGATACTCACTCCACCCAGAGTGGGTGTGCTGTCAGACCACATGGGACTGGCCCAGGATACATGTCCTGCTCCCTCCCCAGGCACCAAGCATGACAGGCACCTTGTCCAACCAAATCCACCGAGAATCCTCCTCCACTGTTTAGTGTGACTTTCACCTGACTTACTGGGTAATACATGGAATTTTTTTTTTCAAAATTTAAGAGGCACTAAAAATGTGCTATAAAGAGAAAAGTCCATCAGGTGCTGATGTCTGTAATCTGAGCTACTCAGGAGGAGGCTGCAATCTAAGGATGGTAGTTCAAAGCCAGCCCAATTAGGAAAATCCATGAGACTCTTATCTCCAATTAACCACTAGAAAACCAGAAGTGAAGCCGTGGCTCAAAGTGGTACAGCACTAGCCTTGAGCAGAAAGACTCAGAGACAGTGCCCAGGCCCTGAGTTCAAGCCCCATGACCAACAAAAAAATAAATCAAAAATCCCTTTCCACCCCAACACAAAGTTCCTTGATTCTCCTAGAAGACAACCAGTCAAATGTCCTTAGAAGAACTAATGTTCTCCTTCCTTACAAAAATGATAAGCAAGAACTAAAACATGTAAGAACATTAAAAAAAGTTACAACAGAAATCTTTTTTAAAAAATTTGCTGGGCACCGGTGGCTCACGTTTGTAATCCTAGCTATTCAGGAAGCTGAGGTCTGAGGATCGCTGTTCAAAGCCAGCCTGAGCAGGAAAGTCTGTGAGACTCATCTCCAATTTACCACCAGAAAACCAGAAGTGGTGCTGTGGCTCAAGTGGCAGAGGGCTCGCCTTGAGCTGAAGAGCTGAGGGACAGCGCCCAAGTCCAGAGTTTAAGCCTCACGACAGACAAAAGAAAAAAGAAAAGAAAAAAATTATTACCATGAAATATTTACAAAAGTAAAAACTGAGAAATTGGGCTGGGAAGGTGGCTCAGTGGTAGAGCACTTGCCTTGCATGCTTGAGGCCCTGGGTTCAATTCCTCAGCACCACATAAGCAAAAAGAAAAAAGCCAGAAGTGGCGCTGTGGCTCAAGTGGTAGAGTGCTACCCTTGAGCAGAAGAGCTGAGGGACAGCGCCCAGGCCCAGACCTCCCCCAGAAAAACAACTGAGAAATTCATTGTTGGCTAGAGTGACATTGCAGCAGACAAGGCTTGCTTAGCATGTGAAGGCCTTGGGCTCCCTCCTAGAACCTCCAAGGGAGGGAGGAAAGCTCTCCTCCAACCCCCCATCCAGAGCTACAGGTTTAGCATTTGGGCACACATCCTCTTAGAGTGTCTGTAGTATATATCACTTTGAAAACAAAACAGAAGAGCAAACAGTATCGATTCTTCCATGGTCTCATCAGTATCTCATTCTCTATGACGTAAATGGTTTGAGATTGTCTACAGATGATGACTAATAGCCAGTTCACAGAGACATACAGGCATATGGGATTTCCACAATGTCCTCACTGGAAGACTTCTTCTACAGGAAATGCTAGGTCCAGTCTATGGCTACTTTTGTGTGTGTGTGTGTGGGGGGGGGGGGTGTCATGAGGCTTGAACTCTGGGCTTGGGTGCTGTCCCTGAGCTCTTTAGTTCAAGGCGAGCACTCTACCACTTGAGCCACAGTGCCATTTCTGGTTTTCTAGTGGTTTATTGGAGATAAAGAGTCTCATGGACATTTCTGCCTGGGCTGCCTTTGAACTGTGATCCTCAGATCTCAGCCTCCTGAGTAGCTAGGATTACAGGCATGAGCCACCAGTGCCAGGCATATGGCTACTTCTTAAGCCCCAGGTTACCTACCTAAAGGTCCTCCTGTCCACTCAACAAGAATAGCTTCCAATCTAAATGCACATTTCCTTGAGAGGCCTAGAAGCCCTTGTTCCCACCCCCTCAGCAGTCAGCTGGGCAGGCTAACTCTACCTTAAGACCTCAACTAAGGCAAAGGTCTCTGGTGGGTGTGGTGACTGCCTTGTTTATTTAGCCAGCGGGCCTGACCTGGGCCCAACCCAGTCCAAGGTGAGTCACCTGAACCAAAGGCAGGCACCACCCTTTCCAGATAGGAACCCAGCTGGGCCAAGAGCCATCACCACCTTCCAGAGGGAAACAGACTGTCTTGGCAGCAACTGGAGGACACAGCAGCACCTGACTTGCAGGTAAGAGAGGCCTGTTCTATAGCTGGCATTGGTTGAGTTCTGCTCTTGCCCGGTCTTCTCTCCTTGTCCCTACCCTTCTGAGACTTCCCAGTGGTCTCCTTTCAAAGTGCTTCCTTCCAGGAGTACAGTGTGAACTGGACTTTCCTCTCCTCTGAACCCAGCCCCAGGCCTGGTTTGAGGGCTACCATTTTTTTTTTCAGTGCTCCAGCTTCTATTCTGGCTTCCAGTCTGTTTCCCAAACATCAGCAAGGGGCTTATTCAATGAGAGCTAGGCCTTGGCACTCATCTGCTGCTCATCACAAGATCCTGGAGATGGCAACCACTCTCACGTCTTAAAATAGGGTTATCAGCCTGGGTAAAGGGGGAGCTGCGGGCAGACACAAAGAGCAGGGAGTCCAGGCCTCTGCTTGTTGCTTCTTTCGCTCTGAAGCAGATTCTCTACTTTAGCAGCGAGGGGAAATGTGCTGGGGAAGTGGCCTAATGTCCTCACTTCTCTATGACCTGGAGACCTCTCTGGAGGCTGGATGTTGAGAAGGAAAATGAGGGATTAGGACCTGTCCCCAGCACTGGACGTGAGCGTAGAGTGACCCATCCTGGCTGCATCCCAGTTAGTAACCTCCCATCTCCAAACCAGTTAGGGACCAGATAAACTGAAGGTGGGCCATGGCTCCCATGGCTCCCACTCTGCCCCCAGAATCCCCCAGTGGCTCCTACGGCACTGGAGGAAATGCCCAAGTCCTCGCCAAGGCCCTCAGCCCCCACATGCCCTAGCACTATTTTGCTGGCCTCCTCCACTGCCGCCTCCTCTGAGCAGCTGACTTTGGTCAGCAGGTGCTCCCACCTCGGGGCCAGTGGGAGTGCAACCAGCTGGTGCAATGCTCTCCTCCCTACCTGCCCATTCAGATGCCCCCATCCTCCACGAGGCTCCTCTGGTCCCCGACGCTCCCTGTGCTCCATCTTTTGCTTCCTTCTCTCCTCAGTGCTTAACAGCTTACCAAGCCATGGAGCTCTACATTAGTAATCTCCTTCCTCTAGGACCCATCCTTTAGTTCATACCTCACTCACTGCTGACCCCGAAAAGGCTACTTGGAAACAGGGGAACTCAGGAAATATGTGAGGAGCGAATAGCTGTTACTGCCTTTCATGAGGTCGATACTGTGCGAATGCTTTCCATACAGATCTCTTTTTTTCATACAATCTGCCATACCCAGATAACTGTGATGCAAGTCTATATTATAAAAGAAGTGACATCCAAAAGGGGCAGTTCCCTCTAAAGTCCTTGTTCCTGCCCTGCCTCCCTGGGCCTTTGTTCGGCAACATCTGCATTTCTTGAAACCCACAGCTTTTCCCCAGTAGGCAGGCGGTACATCCCTAGGTGGTGGGAGGTGGGGCTTGGGGGGGGGGGGGTGTACACTGGTGGCCTAGCAACAGCCTCTTCCTTTCAGACTCAGCAGATCATGGGGCTAATTTGGCCTTCTAGGAGCTGTTCCCCAATCAGGCTCACCCACACTGTCCTCCCACACAGCCTTCTGAAGGCTGGGTGAGTTGTCCACAGGACAAGTGGGAGTCTTGGAGCTTCAGTTCTTCAGAACAAAGTGTTCTTATTCTAGGTTCAGGTGGGGGCTGAGGACCCTTTTTCAGCCCTGTTCATCCCCCAAGACCCTGCATTATTGTGGGTGTGGCTACTGCTCAGATCAAGCAGTCTGGAAGCTCTGGGGTAGAGATCTGCCAAGTAGAAGAGGAAGATTCCTGGGGGAGGGGTGGGAGTGTTAGGTGGATGGTTTTCTTTCAGGAGCGAATTCATCACAGGAAGCCATTAGCACCTAACTGAGTAAACTCTTCCACCATCATACTGGAGGAGCCAGGCGGACTTTCCATCTTCCTCATCAGGGCTATGTTTTCTTCTCCCTTCCTAGGCCAGTGTTATTTTTCAAAGGTGTTGCTACTAACCAGTTATAAATACAAGATGGAATGGGAAGAATGATTGTATCTAGATATTTGGGTTTTCTCTTCCCTCTATTTTCCTTTAAGAAACAGTAACTTAATACCCACTGTGCCAGCACTGCGCTCAGAACTGGATATTCATATAACTGAGTGGCAATTTGTGAACAGTGAGGATAATGGCAAATTTATCATACCATAATGGAACTGCAATCTCCCTCAAAATGTGGGAAGCATTGCTGTGTGGTTTTGGGGTATGTGTGTGTGAGTTAAGGGCCAGTACTAGGCTTTGAACTCAGAGCCTGAACACTGTTCCTTAGCTCTGTGTGTGTGTGTGTGTGTGTGTTTGTGCATGCGCCAGTCCTGGGGATTGAACTCAAGAGCCTGGGAGCTGAGTCCCTGAGCTTTGTTGTTGTTGGTGGTGGTGGTCGTGGGGCCTGAACTCTGGGCCTGGGTGCTGTCCCTCAGCTCTTCAGCTCAAGGCTAGCGCTCTACCACTTGAGCCACAGCGCCACTTCCAGCTTTTTCTGCTTATGTGGTACTGAAGAATCAAACCCAGGGCCTCATGCATGTGAGGCAAGCACTCTACCACTGAGCCACCTTCCCAGCCCCTCCCTGAGCTTTTTTTGCTCAAGTCTAGTGCTGTACTACTTTGAGCCATATCTCCATTGTTTTGGTGCTTAAGAGGGAAAAAGAATCTCACAGACTTTCCTGCCCAGGCTGGCTTTGAACTGCAATCCTCAGATCTCAGCCTCCTGAGTAGCTAGGGTTACAGGAGTGAGCCACTGGCACCTAGCTTTATTCCTTAGCTTTTTTGCTTAAGGCTAGTGTACTACCACTTGAGACACAGCTCCACTTCTGGCTTTGTGTTCTTCAAGGGGCTTAAACTCAGGGCCTGGGTGCTGTCTCTGGGCTTTTTTTTCTTTTTTCTCAAAGCTAGTGCTCTACCATCTCCACTTCCAGCTTTTTAGTGGTTAATTAGAGATAACAGTCTTTTGACTTTCCTGTCTGATCTGGCTTCAAACTTCGAACCTCAGATCTCAGCCTCTTGAGTAGCTAGGTGATACTGGTGCCTGGTGAAGTCAGTGTTTAGGAGCATTTGTGAAATGATGAATGGGTACTCAAGCTATTCTGGTCCAGATAAAGGAGGCTCACCCATGCTTGGAGGGATGTGTGTGTGTCAGTGTGGGATGAATCAGAAGGAGGTAAGGATGACATCTGTGACAGAGGGGGCAGCACCTGTCAAAGCATGGCAGCATGAGCCAGCAGGTTGAGTTTTCAGATCAGCAAGTCATTTGGAATGAATGAAACGCTTGGTGAGTGGGTGAGGTGAAATGTGAGACTTTACCAGAGCTGTCATGAAACCTGCAATGCCACTGAAGCTTGAGATTCATCCTGGTAAGAGCCAGGCATGGCATCAAAGGGAGGGAAAGGCAGGAGGTAAGGTGAGCTCCCACATTTGTGGCTCAATCTCCTGGGTGTGGCGTGGCTGCAGTGAAGGGGCAGCACGGCCGGGGAAATCCTTCAGCATAATCTTCTGGAGGTAAATAAATATCCAAAGGGCAGTTAGACCTGAGGTCTGGTCTCCCCATAGCTGCAATGGCACATTTCACTCAAATGAGGAGTACATTTTCCATCCTTCACCGACAGTCAAGATGTTTTGTCTTTGTCCAGAAGGCTTCCTTCCTTTCCCTGTCCTTTTTTTTTTCTTCTGTACCTCGTAGACTCAATTACCGGATTCCCTTATCACTGGCAGTGGGTCTGATTTCACGGTGGGAAGTGATCTGCCCAGCCAAGCTCGATTCCCCTTCTTCAGCAGCAGGAGCCTGATCTGCGTGGGGTGGGTGGAGAGGGGCGGTGCGTCTGCAGCGCGTCCACTGCGTCAGGAGTCAGGCCTGGTGGCTCACGCCTGTAATCCCTGGAGGCGGAGATCTCGGGTTCGTGGTTCGAAGCCAATGCGGGCAGAAAAGTCTGTGAGGCTCTTTTATCTCCAATTAGCCACCAAAAAGCCAGACGTAGAGCTGTGGCTCAAGTGGAAGAGCGCTCGCTTTGAGCAAAAAGCAGCTGGGGGACAGGGTCCGGACCCTAGCCACGCTGGGGTGGGAGGAGGCAGAGGGGGAGGGGCCTGGCCATGGGACGGTAGGGAGGGGAGCCCCCCTTCCCGGTACCCGCGGCAACGCGGGGAGGCGCTGCGCACCCCCTTCCCTCCGCCTCGGATCGGAATCGCAGTCAGCACCCAGCGGCTCCACCGCGCCTGCGCAACCCCCAGGCGGCGCCTAGAGGCCAAGGGGGTGGGAGCGTGCGGCCAGGAAGGGGAAGGCGCGGAGCCTGGCCTTCCCCGGCTGCTTCCCCTGCAGACCGCTTGAGGCTGGATGGAATCTGGCAACCCACCTAACCACGCCACCCCGACGGCGAGGAGTCCACCATCGTCAGTACCGCCGTCCCGGGGCATCCTGGGAGCCTCGCGGGCTGAGGCCGCGCGGGAAGCGTACGCACACTCTAGGGGTGCGCATGCGCCCTGGTCGCCGCTGCACGCGGGTGGGGCGCGGGACGGTGTCTCTGCGCAGGCGCCGTAGCCCAGCAAGCCGATGCAGCTCTTCTGCCGGGTTCGGTGGCTGTGATTTGTTTTTGGGGGGGGAGGGGGATCGTGTGACAGGTGGCCGGGTGTGGAGGACCCGCGGTTCGGGGGCACCCCAGTGCAGGCAGTATGTGCCTGATTGCTTCCATTTCTCCAAGCTAGCACTTGAGGCAGGGAGAAAGGGCGGGTTTGTCCCGGTACTGAGTCCTGCATGGTTGCCTCTGGGTAAAAAAAAAAATCGAAGTCAGATATGATGGTGCACACCTGTAATCCTTGTATTTGAGAAGCAAGGGCAAGAGGATCATGAGTCCGAGGCCAGTCTGGACGACATAGTGAGACTCTGTCTGAAAACAAAAACCCAAATCAATGGTACACCTCCTTTATAAAGGAGAAATGAGAAAAATGACGGCGGTCTATGGTAAAAGAAAGAGCATTGCGCGATCTATAATAAAAGACTGTGCATTGCCCTTGTGAAAGCCCG